CCTCTCATTGTACTAATTATCCGGCTCTGTGCTTATCCATCGCACTTGGTGTTCCTATCGTAGCCATTGGATGGGTTTTTGCTGCATTTTAATTTGAGATTTTGCGCTTTGTTGGTGCGCTTACAAGTACCTGCCTAAAACGAAAAGCATTGTTCCTATTTAGATGCAAGATTAGATTTGCTGGAATTTTACCTAACTTTAGGTAACTACAAATGTTGATAGAAGCTGCTAGGAAAAGAAACACAAAATTTCAAGAGAAATATGAATATTGCTTCTGAGAAAGTCTAGAATTCAGGGGATTCCTAAGGAGAATTCTTAAGTATTGCTAAGTATTACTTATAACGGAATCCTTTTCCAAATTATGTTTAAGCACTTAACCACTCTTCTTCAAACGAATGAATTTTTGGAATCCTTAACCAACCAAATGTCAGAGTTCTTTCCCTGTTCTGGTTCAATTTGAATAGGATCGAAATATTACACACCGCTGCACCACTCACTCCTATATGTAAGGGATTTTCCCCAAACGCGGCGGAGTACGTAGTTCAACATCAAATTGTTATGCTGCACTGGTTTGACAGCGGGTGTGTTGCAGCTTTCAGCTGCTTGTACGCTACGTAATTATTAATACTCGGAAGTTCATTTCAATCTGATTCTCGTTGGGTTTAAACATTCCGGCCGCCAATGAAATTTCGGAGAGTTCATCGGTCACAGGCGGTGGAACCACCGCCAAACCGACATGACACATAATTCTCACTTGCCCGAAAATTGTGAACGGCTGATTTAAATGTACAGGGATCCAAACTGTCAACACCATAGGAGTTTTTGCTCTAGATTGTTATTAGATTTTATTTTATTTTATTTCTGCATCAACAGGCACGTGGGCCCAATGATGGTTAGTTTACACTACTGACTGTCATGTACATGTACAATAAAACATATAGTAAAATCTAAAAACTACTCGTTACGATTTGTTCTCCAGGAAAATAGAGGGGTAAATTTTCATCACAGTAGCTCACGTGATATGTGAAAGTCAAACACAGATGCAACTCGGTTGAATAATCTTTGAAGACCGATGATAGCACTATGCAAGCCGTAGTTAGTTCTTATAAGAGACAATCGAAGCATGTGGTTGTTTCTCAAGAACCTAGGCTGTACATTGATGTTAATTTGTTCCAACAAAACTGGGCAATGAACTCGATTCTGCAGAACATCAGCGACAAACATAGCTCTTAGAGTGTCGCGACGAGTGTTGAGAGGTGTATTAATGGACAATGGCAGCCTAAAAGGATTACGTCACGGTAATTGCCGAAGTGCGTAGCGAATGAATCTGCGTTGAACTGACTCTTTTTTTTTTTTTTTTTTTTTTTTTTTTTTTTTTTTTTTTTTTTTTTTTTAACTCTTTATTTGTTCCAAATTCAAAATAAATTACATTTCATTTTACCCTAGGTGCTCCAGTTACTGCAGTAACGTACCAGCCTTAATTGTTATGATATATATCTAAGTGTTTTTACATTGTTCATGTCTTGGCAATTCAGTATTTTAAACAGGTTTTTTAACCTGCATGTCAGTATAACAATTGATATCTTAAAACTAAAAACTAAAACTAAATCTTATCTAAGTATAAATGGAATTAATCGTTGCAATTGAGGATTGCAACGATTTTTGCCTGAAATTATTAATTATTTTGTTGGACATTTGTTCTAAAGTCTCAACATTCGAAATTCTATGTACTTCGGTAGTACTGTACCAGGGAGGCAACTTCAAAATCATTTTCAGAACTTTGTTCTGAATCCTTTGAAGTGCTTTTTTCCTGGTAGTGCAGCAACTAGACCATATTGGCACAGCGTAAAGCATGGCCGGTCTAAAAACTTGTTTAAATATTAGAAGTTTATTCGTCAGGCAAAGTTTGGATTTCCTGTTTATAAGAGGATACAAACATTTTATATATTTGTTACATTTGGCTTGAATGCCCTCAATGTGATCTTTAAAAGTTAATTTTTGGTCAAGTATTAATCCAAGATATTTCACTTGGTTTGACCAGGAAATTGGAACTCCGTTCATAGTGACTATGTGACTACTACTAGGTTTCAAAAACGAAGCTCTAGGCTTATGTGGAAATATTATAAGTTGAGTTTTGGAAGCGTTGGGAGAAATCTTCCATTTTTGTAAATAAGAAGAGAAAATATCTAAACTTTTCTGCAGTCTGCTGCAAATAACACGAAGACTTCTTCCTTTAGCGGAAATGCCTATGTCATCAGCGAACAAAGATTTGTGGCAACCCTGAGGCAAATCAGGGAGGTCCGAAGTGAAAATGTTATACAATATAGGCCCAAGAATGCTACCCTGAGGAACTCCTGCTCTAACAGGTAGTCGATTAGATTTGGAATTTTGATAATTTACCTGCAGAGTTCTGTCAGTTAAATAATTTTGAACTAATTTCATAATATAAAGTGGAAAATTAAACTTTTTCAATTTAGCAATCAAACCATCATGCCAAACACTGTCAAATGCTTTTTCTATGTCTAGAAGAGCAACTCCAGTTGAGTGGCCTTCCGATTTGTTTGAACGAATTAAATTGGTAACTCTTAAGAGTTGATGAGTAGTTGAATGCCCATGGCGAAATCCAAACTGCTCATCTGCAAAAATTGAGTTCGTATTGATGTGAAGCATCATTCTATTCAAAATTATTTTTTCAAAAAGTTTACTTATTGAAGAAAGCAAACTTATTGGACGGTAGCTAGAAGCTTCAGCTGGATTTTTATCCGGCTTCAAAATTGGAACAACTTTTGCATTTTTCCATTTATCAGGAAAGTATGCCAAATCGAAACATCTGTTAAATAATTTTACCAAGAAAGACAAGGTACTCTCTGGGAGTTTTTTGATGAGGATATAGAAAATTCCATCATCACCTGGAGCTTTCATATTTTGAAAATTTTTAGTTATAGACCTTACTTCGTCCAAATCAGTCCCCCAGGAATCATCAAAAATATTTTCCCGAGAGAAAATATTCAGAAAATCCCGAGCAACCTGATTCTCAATAGGACTAGTAAGACCCAAACTGAAATTATGGGAACTCTCGAATTGCTTAGCAAGTTTCTGAGCTTTTTCCAAATTTGTGATCAAAATTTTACCACCTTCTTTAAGCGCTGGAATAGGCTTTTGAGGTTTTTTCAAAATTTTTGTGAGTTTCCAAAAGGGTTTGGAACTCGGGTCTAATTTAGAAATATTATTTTCAAAAGTTTTGTTCCTCAGGGCAGAGAATCGCTTTTTAATTTGTTTTTGCAAATCCCGCCAGATAACCTTCATGGCAGGATCGCGTGTTCTTTGATATTGTCTCCTACGGACATTTTTAAGACGGATCAAGAGCTGAAGATCGTCGTCTATTATAATTGAATCGAATTTAACCTCGCATTTTGGTACTGAGGCAGCTCTTGCTGCAACTATAGAAGTAGTCAGAGATTCAAGAGCATAATTAATTTCATCTTTGGTTTGCAAAGGAATGTTTGGATCGAAGTTATATTCCATAAATGTTCGATACTGCTCCCAATCAGCTCTATGGTAATTGAAAGTAGAGCTGTTGGGATTACAAATTATTTCTTGGGATATTTCAAAAGTTACTGGAAGGTGATCAGAACCGAAGTCAGTATGGGTAACCAATTGGCTACAAAGTTGACATGAATCAGTTAAGACCAAATCAATAGTTGAGGGATTTCTTGCAGAAGAAAAGCATGTTGGGCTGTTTGGATATTGAATAGTGTAATAACCTGCAGAACAATCATCAAACAGAATATTACCATTGGAATTGCTTTGAGCATTATTCCATGAGCGGTGTTTTGCATTAAAATCACCAATAATGAAGAATTTAGACCTATGACGGGTAAGTTTCTGGAGGTCACCCTTGAGAAAATTCTTTTGCTGGCCTACGCATTGGAATGGCAAATAGGCAGCTATAAACGTAAGTTGGTTGAACTGACTCGATTCACTCAACTCCATTATGATAAAAAGGGTTCCAAACAGTTGCGCCATATTCTAATGTAGATCGTGAACGTCAGTGAAATCCTTAGCTATCCTATAGATAAACCCCAAAGATCTGGAGGCTTTGTCTACCATGAATGAAATGTGCTGTTTGAATGTTAGTTGTGAGTCCAATATAATAAACAGGTCCTGAACGAGTAAGTCACGTGACCCGGGAGAGTGTAATTGAACTTTAAGGGCTCTTTTTCGCGAGAGAAGGTGATTATCGAGTACTTGTTAGGATTTACTGTCATGCGGTTCAAGTCACACCATTCACTGAATCTATCAATCTGAATTTGTAGCAACATAGCGTCAGCATGCATTTGAATCTTAAGATCATCAGCGAATGACAAACGAAGTTTTTCTAGCTCAAAGTTCACATCATTGAAATAAATTAAGAGGAATACCTGAAGTTGCTGGGAAAGCAATCGAATTGCAATCCTCAATAGACACACTGAGTTGGCGTTCGATAAGATACGACTGGAACCACTGAGAAGTGAAAGGCCCGCACTGATATCCGAACAGCTTATATATTTAATATTGTGTGTGTGTGGCTTCAAATCTATAATTTGATTTTGGTTTAGTTTTACAAGTTGTTTTTAGGTTAGAATAGAACTTACAATTCAGTGGCGATTTTCGCTCGAATGGCCTTGTTGGTCAGCATTCAACCGCTTGCTGTATAATCCTAAGTAGATGTAATTCTTGTTAAAGTTTTTAAGTTTCACTAAGTCCATCGAATTTACCTTCACTAGCCGTAGTAACTATTTAGATGTAAGCTAGATGTAAGTAGGATTAACTAATTTAAGTTTCTATAGTAATTTTTCACCCGCGTGTATCTGGTTCAATTCTTTCATTTTCGTTCCTGCAGACTAACGTTTCGACACAGAGAGTTTGTCACGCGTAGACTCGCCGCTCGTGTCGTGATGTTCAGACGGCCGGGTTGCCAATTCAACCGTTCAATCAGTCGATGTCCCTGTGCTAACATCCTAACCCGAGTGCGGTCCACTGGCCTCAATGACCGCACTGCTACTTGAAACATAGAGTACCACCAGTTTCGATACCGGCCGACGAAGAACTCCCCCCGCAGTCTTGATCATAGCCTGGCGCACGTGACCATCCGGTGCTCTGATCGACTCAATCACGATCCCGCGAGTCCAGCCATTCCGCTTGCCCTCATTCGCTATCAACACCAAGTCTCCATCTTGCACGCACCGGACTTCATCGTACCACTTGGTCTGCCTCCTTATCACCGGCAAGTACTCCTTCAGCCAGCGTTGCCAGAATCGGTTGAGCTGCCGCTGGATGTGGTTCCACAAGTCCCGAGAAATCCCCTGTTGAGGCTCGATACACACGCTTGGCTGTTTGACCCCGTTAGAGCTCCCCAGCAGGAAATGGTTCGGAGTAAGCGATTCAGATTCCGCAGAATCAAGTGGTAAGTACGTGACTGGTCTAGTATTCACAATGCCCTCTGCCTCCACGATCACGGTCTGCAGCTCTTCATCGTTGAGTTTTCCTTCGCGGTACGCATCCCCTATCGCCGCCTTCACTGAACGGACGAGTCGCTCCCATGCACCGCCCATGTGCGGAGCGCTTGGCGGAATGAAGGTCCACTTCGTGTTGGCACTGGTGAACGTTGCTGATACTCCTTCGTCGATCTGGCCACGAAGCTGTCGTTCAGCCCCGTGGAAGTTCGTAGCGTTATCACTGAAAAACTCCACAGGCGATCCTCGGCGGCAGACAAATCGTCGGATGCAGGAAATACACGACGCAGCTGACAGGCTGTATGCCACTTCGAGGTGAACGGCGCGCACAGTCAAGCAAGTGAAGAGCGCAATCCACCTTTTTACATTCAAGCGGCCCTGCTTGACTAACAATGGGCCGAAGTAGTCCACTCCTACGTAACTGAATGGACGGTCGTGTATGGCCAACCGTGCTGGTGGCAGTGGTGCCATCGGAGGTGCCTTACGAATTTTGCAGAATTGGCAGCTTCGTCCGATCTGCTTTTCGGTATGATGAACAGCTGGCGGACTTCGTTCACTACCATTTCGGAGTTTGCATGACGGTAGAGCCGATGATAGCGTGAGACCAGAAGTTCCGTGCACCGATGCTTTCTTGGCAGGATTACTGGAAAGCGCACGCTGTGATGAATATCCTTCGCCGCTGCAATCCGGCTGTTTTGACGCATCAAACCCCGTTCATCCATCATTGGCATCAGTTGGTGAACGATGCTCGATCTGTCAATCGATTCCTTCTTGTCTTCCGGTAGCACTTAATTATTCTTCAGGATCGTTACCTCATCTACAAAGGTTTCTCTTTGGACCTGCTTCAGAACTTCATTTTCGGCATCATCCAGCTCCTGTTGAGTTAATCGACCACTGCGTTTTTCTCCCTTCTTGGTTACGTTGAAAATGAATCGTAGCACGTAAGCCATACTACCAACAATCAATACGCAACTAACGATTTTAAATTGGCTCACCAATTTAGTAGCCTATTGGTCCCAAGCAAACGATTAACGTACCCTATTCTAGTTGAAATTCTATTACTACACTATGTTTGTTTTGATTCGCTATGAAAGTTTGACAGATAACATCAGGGGTGTGTGGATTCATGCAGAACATGCAGGGGTGAGTGAAATAGCTTGGGACTGCTTGGGACCGTTGTTCTGGTACTGAGTGAGCCAAAAATAATAATGATTTTCTTCGGGACCCAGTGGTCTTAGAGTTACCTCTATGATACTACGCTGCAACCTCTCCCATTTAGAGAACCGCTCGTAGGCGATCACAGGTTCCCAAGTGGTGTGAAAGAGTACTGATGATCGAACTTCTACGGCCGTATCCACGACTAAATCCGTAGAATTCGGCCATTCATGTTCCGGGAAGCGCAAGAACTCCGGTCCGTTGAACCACTTGCTGTCGCTACTGAAGTAGGGTCCACTTCCCCACTTTGTTGCCTCATCTGCTGCGTTAGACTCCGACGGAACCCATCTCCACTCATTGACTGATGTATTTTCGAGAACGGTCGATAGTTCCTCGAATCTGCGCGGATCCACGAAAGCGCAACGGAGCTGTCCATCCACATGACTCGTCTTCTGATGGTAATGGAGTGGTTGGCTTGCACGAACTTCATCATTCTTGTTCCCAGGAGACATTCTTGAAGTTCCAGCTTGGGTATAGTCATTGGCTTGAGTGGTGCTACTTTCGCCTTCGCAGCGATCAGTGTGCACTAGGGTGTGCCGTCAGCGATGATTGTCCTCAGGTACAGCGCACAGGAATACGCAAGCGGACTGGCATCTACGAAGACATGAAGTTCAGTAACTTCATACGAACGTGCTGACGCTTCTGGGAAATAGCAGCGAGGAACGCGAACGTTCGCAATGTACGAAAACATCTTGATCCACCTGCACAAGTCCTGCACCAGAATCTTGCCGTGGATCAGAACTGTGGCCAATAAACCCAACGGGTCGAACAGAGTCATGACGCAGCGTAACACTTGCCTTTTCGTTGGGATTCTGTCATTTTCCAGGAGAGATTGAACTTCATCGCTCATTCGAGTGCTGAACGATAGTTCGTCCGTTACTGCGTCCCACAACATCCCGAGCACACGTTCAGTAGTGGTGCTCGTAGTTATCAAGCTTTTACTGGTAGCTGCTTGAGTCTCCCCAAGGTGCTCCAGAACACCTTCGTTGTTCGAGATCCAGTTCCTCAATTCGAACCCACCGTTCCGGAAAATCTGACGTACTTCCTCAGAAATACGAAGAGCTTCTTCTTCCGACCCAAAGCTATCGAACTTGACTCTTTACAGATGTACCACGAACCACTCGATTCTTCGATCATGGACCAGGATATCTTCTGGCGACTCATTTCCCCGAGTAAGAACCGTTGGTTTGAACAGCATTCGGCACTACAGTGGCAGGGTCAACCTCGATCGGAAGTAGGCAGAACTTGAAAATGGCCCGCTTGGTTGTTCCGGAATTGGTTTTTACTGTGGCAACCCGAACTAGCCCATCTATGTCGGGATGGATGGTGATCACGCGCCCGTCGTCCTTGCGAACGACGATGGAACCGACGGCGAGGTTGTCGAGAGCTTGATTCCAGCCGTAACGGTTTTGAAGCGTAGCCAGGTACTCCTTGTGCCAACGGGAGCTGCTGTATTCGTCTCCATCGGGACAAGCGGGCCTCAGGAACGTCTTGCTGATCGGGATCGGGCATTGCATTCAGCGGTCTGCCGATCAGGAAGTGTTAGAGTGAACCCATCGGATGGCTCGTCTGGAAGCGGAGTAATTGGGCGTGAGTTGAACACCGGCACTAGACCAGTTTGCTGTTCGGACTCAGTAAGGTGGGCATTGCCGAGAATTTTTTGAAGCATAGTCTTGGCTGATTTTACACAGGCCTACCATATTACACCAAAAGAAGGCCAACGTGGTGGGATGAAACGGAACTGGATGCCATCTCGAGATGTGAGGTCCACTGAAACTCAGCCACACGATTGGCCACAAACGTCTTCAACGTAGCCGGTGTTGATGAGAGTCAATTCAACACGTTGGTCGAATCAGTCCATAAGTAGATTGTGGCGGAAATATCAACACTGTCCATGGCTTGTACCAGTAGTTTGGACAGAAGTTGAGCAACACATAACTCGAGTCGAGGAATGCTTTTGGAGTATTTGGAGCGACCTTGGATTTCGACATCAAGAGTCGCGCTGTGCAGCATCCAGCAGAAGTGATTGACCGAAGGTACAGACAGGCACCATATGCAGCTTTGGATGCATCACTAAAGCCGTGAATTTCCTGGCGTGCCTAACCTGAACTGAGAACGTGTCTAGGAACAATTAGTTTATCGAGAATGGTGAGCTGTTGCTGGAATTCCTGCCAGTTGGCGATGACTGCTGGTGGTTGTTGAGTTGAAGTTTCCATAGTCCTTGGAGCAAAATCTTAGCCGGAGTTCCGGAGGAATTGCATCAAAACGGTCTGACTGTTGGAAGACCATTGCCGGAGTGGAAGTCCTGCAGAAGCAAGCATTATAATGAGCTCTTTACAGCTTACGGTGAGAGATTCAGCGTCATTGGAACCGGTCAGCAAATTATCGACGTAGAAGTCGCGATGAAGCAGTGGAGCTACGAGCGGAAATTGCTGTTCTTCATCGTCCGCGAGAACAACTGGTGCCATAGGTGACGGTGAGTAGCTGGAAAATCTTCAGTGGAAGGTCGCGATGATCGCGTCACACTATACTCGTGAGCGGTTGATCAAACAGGAACACGAGGATCTGCTTCCCTTAGCTCAGTCGGTAAAGGCGCAGCTACAAAGCAAGACCATGCTGGAGGCGGCTGGGTTCGATTCCCGGTCAGGTCTAGGAATTTTTTCGGGTTGGCCAATTTCTTGACTTCCCTGGGCATAGAAGTATGATTGGACTTGTTGCCACACAATCATATCAATGCAAAAATGGTACAGGCATCAAAAGCTCTCAATTAATAGCTGTGGAAGTGCATCTAGAACACTAAGTAGAGAGCACGCAATAAGCTAATATGCGATATGCAATAAGCTTAAAATGCGAATAAGAAGAAGAAAAAGAAGAAGAGGATCGCCAGTACATTTTCTCGATGTCCTCAGAAGCGACGAATTCGAAGATTCGAAAGCAAGTGACGATAGTGACCACGGTATTTTGAATGGTGGGATCAGCAAGCAGAACGTCGTTCAATGAAAGGTCAGATTTCGATTGACACAAGGCGTCCAAGATTGTTAGAAGCATGGCCGTCATGCTGTCCATCTTGATCACCGCGTGATGGGGAAGGAAGTAGCTAGGCTTGACATTTAGTTCACCGGGACTGATTTCCCGCATGTGTCCTAACGCCAAGTGGATGGACTTCAGGTACATTGCCTTCTTCTCAGGATCTCTAGCGGATCTCTGGGCTAGGGAGCGTAGAAACGTAGCGTACCATTGTACCAGTTGTCGTCTAGCTGAAGCAGGAGTTCTTCTCGCTTCGAAAGTTGGACAACGTAGCAGCGGCCTTCGAAGTTTTGAGTGGTGTTCTTGAGGACGTGATCTTCGCAGAAACATTCCGGAGACCAGCCTTTTGTCTTTTGAGCTTCCTTCAACTGCCAAAAACGGTTGACCAACTCGTCGATCATTCAGGGATTACTGAACTGACAGCTACGTGGATCTAGGTGGTCGTGGTTTGCCAGCGTACATTATCCTGAGTCGACCCAACCGAATTCTGCATTCTGGATCAGACGAAGATCGATGCCAAGAGAGATTCGGCCTTAACTGATAACACGGAAGAAGTGTGCAGCGCCAAGGATCATGTCAATGCTACCGGTCATGGCGAACATGGGAACGAACGTCAACCGAAGATTGCGGCAGTTTCATGGTAATCGACGGGAGTATGAGCATGGAACTTTTCATGGTGAAAGGCGGCACCCGGGAGGAGATGGTAACGGATGTTTCGTGTTCCACGATCGTGGTGGTGTTGCCAATTCCACTGGTGGTAATCGGCTGAAGAAGTCGAGTGCGAGGAAGTTGAAGCTTTTCGCACAATGCTACAGAGACGAAGTTTCGTTGGAAGAGAGACGGTTCCTGCTTGGGATTGTGAGACCTGAGCATATTGCGAATTCCCAGAAGTGTCGTGAACACTGGAAGCTTGATTTACAGGAGCAGGAACATTCGGAACGGGGGCTGCTGAATAGCTGGGGTGGACTGAGGAGCTTGCTCGGTAGCAACACAACATGTAGAATCAGCAGATTGATTGTTGGATGCAGACTTGATATCACTGCTATCCGTATGAAGCAGCGTGTGGTGTATTCTTGAGCAGACACGGCATAGGGCAGTTTCGAGAAAAGTGGGAAGAGCAACGCAAACAATTCATCCATATTTTTTTCTGCCTTACCAGATCGGCCCATTGACCAACATCTAGTTCCTGAAATCCGGACAGTGGTACAGGTAATGCCCTTGAACACATCGTTCACACGGCTTTTCCGACTTGCTGGAGCTGAAATTTCCTGAGCTGGATGCGTTCTTCTGCGTGGTAACTGGAAAGGCGGCTGACTTTTGCAAAAACTTGTGCTTGTTGCGAAAAGCTGTGGACACTGCAAACAATACTAGAGCATGGAATTCGAATCATGGGATGGCATGGAATTCGAATCATGTGCAGGGGCGCTGAACCGGTTCCTCCCAGAACTGAAGCAATGTTTTCAGTGTCGAGTCGTGCACAGTGGTTCTCCCATTCCCGAGCGTACAAGGATCGAGGCGGACTGAAAGCATATACACCAATATCGAGCTCCACCGGTCGGCTGATTCACCCAAAATTTTCAAAACGGATATTGGCTGCTCGAAACGATCAACCAACGCAAGTAGTCACTCGGATGATTCCTCGCGCATCGCCGGAGTGTCGAACAGCGTCTTTAAGTGACACTTGATGAGGTGCCGCTTATTCTCGAACCGAAGCTTGAGTGTCCTCCAAGCGTCCTTGTAGCCCTGCTCGCTGACTTTAATCGGGTCGAGGGTGCTTGCTGCTTCTCCTTGGACGAGACCCTTGAGATAGTGCATCTTCTCGACTGCGCCGTTGTCACTCCGGGAACCTACAGCTGATTCGAAGGAATCACGAAAGACGCACCAGTCCTCCAAACGACCACTGAACTTCGGGAGATCCAGCTCGGGAAGTCGAACGTTCATCTGCTTAACGGGTGGTGGTTGATTTGAGGAAAAGAAACCACACACCGTTCGGCGAGACCGGATGGAATTCGGTTTTGAAACCTGTGATAGGGAAAACGCTTTTTGCAGGCAATCGGTAATTATTTTGATAACCATTGCGATAGCTGGACGTTTGTGTAATTTTCAATAGTCACCTATTGCAAATTGATAAAGTGTTCATTTCAGCAGATATGTAGATCAATTTCCAATCGATTGGCTTGTTTACAATTGAAATCCATCCGCTATTGACAGAGTTATAAGTTGTCAAAACCTGACCACTTTTCGTAACGCGGCCAATTTTGTTGTTTTTTTTTAATTGTACTCCCAATATGTTGCCGAAAGACGTAATCCTACGTAAAAAATGAAGAAGTGAGTCATTCCGGATGGATCCCCTTTCACCTTAACCTTTGTCCCTTCTAAAACTAAGCTGCCTTGAGTATTTAAAAAAAAACATTCAATAATCTGCAGCAAGCACCCATAAATAATAATAAACTTTGCTTCATAATCATCACAAATTCTCTCGAGTCAACAAACACCCACACTGTCACACTTTCACTCGTGCCCACTTGCACTGGCCCGATAAATTTTAACGATTACGATTATGATATGCACATTACAGATGACTCCGTCGGCAGATGGCCAAAGTGGAGTGCTAAAATTTAACGAGTTGATTCACTCCGATAGTGAGAACTTTTTCTCCCTCCAGGATGATTGTTTTTCACATTTGCGTGTTAAGCGCTCCCAACCGTCATGCAACGATTAGCAGTGGTGGCAATGTCTTTTCAAGGCTTTGGTGAACACAATTGTAAAGCCATTGATTCGCATTACGATTGCTGCGATCGCTGATGGAGTTAGCCTCAGCCTACTTATTTTCCTTTTTATAGAAGAACCACCGTACTGACGGCTTTCAATGGATTACCGTAAGCTGTCAGTTTTGTTTTTACAACTACTGACAGCATGATGCCAGCTTCCTATGGGGAAAAAGTTATTCAAACAAATAATGAATGAAGATTTCAACAGGTTTTGGAAAACTACCAATTTGAGAAGCGAAAACTGAAACAAATATTGCTTTATTTGTATTCATTCAGTCATTCATTCAATTGTAACGTAATCCTTCCCAAAGGGAAAGTAGCGTCCGTAAAGTGGCAAGCCCCAAAATCACAAAGTCGTTTGTTCCACTCGCTCCTGCCGGCTCCTCGGGTATGTGCAGGCAACCCTGCTGGGAGTCATTTTGTCATCCATTCCCGGACCATTTAATAATTTATAAGCCCTAAGCGCTTATGTGAGCTGTTCCGACTAGGATTCAACTCTGGACACGCTCAGACAATGATAATAGCGGGTGAAATTCGAATCAATCAACTCGGAGGGACGGTTTCGGACATATTTTAGTTCAAACGGCAATACGACCATCATCGGTGAGCCTACTTACAGGACAGGCGTCCATTTGGAATCGATGCCTTTGAGCTTTGAGCGGTGGCACGGACACATTCGAATCCATCTTTCAGCCATTGGGCTAATGCCTCTGTGGAATCTGGTTTGGATGATAATTTGACACAGCCTTCTACGATTTAATCGGCTTTCAATTGACTGATCATTGCATTGCCAATTAGGCATTTCATGCTTCTTCTGACAGCACTCACCACCAGAGGGCGAGCAGCCTTCAATCGTATGGGCTGGGTGGAAAATTGGCTTGAATTAAAAATATCAATAATGGTTCGGGTTGTTCAATATATTAGTTCTACATAATGTCACTCTTACTAAAAACACAATGTGTAAAATTTCTCACCGCTAGATGCAAGAGTTAAGGTCCCCCCAAAATGGCGCGTTTTTAAATTTGTCGAACCTCTTAACGGAATCCCTTTTGGAAGAGCTTTGAGTGTGTTGGTTTATTTCCTTTTAATTCCACTATAATTGCTTATCTTTTGATGGTCTGGCATCACTGGTACTGATGAAGGCTGCAAGTAGTAGACAAAATACGCGTATCTGTCAAAAGATAAGCAATTATAACGGAATTAAAAGGAAATAAACATACACACTCAAAGATCTTCAGGAAGATACAAGTTCTAAATAGTTTCAGCTGGCTATATTTGGTGGAAAATCGTGCTGTAGTTTGCAGCAAAATTGAACTAAATGTTTAACCCTTCTGAAAATGAAAAAAGGTATTCATATCGCTTTAAAAAACCGACCTTCGATCAGAGTCCTGGAGCCTTTGTAGCCACATGTGAATACCGCCCTTAATTAGCTATGAAGCTTCCCGTTCGTTAAAAAGTTTTAACCTTTTTCTACATCAACTTTCGCCCTCTCTCGGCAGGTTGAGAGAGTGATGAAAAGCTCTCGCGTGAATTATTCGGTGAGTTCCACTCAGATCTCATAACGTTCTCGAGGGCTATTTGAATTTTACCAAAAGATGCGCTAAAGGAGGAATCTAGAAAATAAATATTAAAAACACGATTTCCTCACACGGATGATTTAGGTAGCCCCTTTTTGGTGGTCTTTAACAATAGCATATGGAATGCCAATTATTCAGCCTCCAAGGCTATCGGCTTTGTTTGAGGGTGAGAATTTCTGGTTTGGGGTTTTGAATTTTATTAAAGTGGAGACCGTCATCTCGAAAAGTCGCTGCTTGAGCAAGTGCGCCTAAAATCCAGATTTGGCAGAAAATTAAATTGTGAACGGTAATAAGCCAGTGAATCAAGTTCAAAAAGTTAAAGCTATTAGAATTCCTTTAAAAGGATAACTGTGTGAAAACTGATTGTACCTGAAGGTAAATTTGTGAAATGAGTTTCCAAATTGTTAGCTAAATGTTAATTCAGTATTAGCGATTAATCTACTTGTGAATTCCGCTACGAAATAAGTCGGGTAAGATTTCGAAAGTTTGAAAAATCAAGTGAATACGGCGCACTAATTAAATGTTGACGCATGTTGAACAGATTTAACCCACTGTTCGACGTGAGTGCGTGTTTGGGGCTTGGAAGCCTGCGAGCTGGACTGAACCTCGCACAGGATTGCGCATCCGTAGTGCATACCCGCCTTTCGACCCTGGGACGAAGTTTTTCTCACCGGATTGAGATCGATCCGACAACCACCCAACGACGCCCGATCAAAGTTCTCCACGATTGATCGTTCGAGGCATCCGTCAACCACCTTGATAGCTTGTGGCGCTAGTAGTAGCCGTCGTTGGGACTGTGGCTATCGGAAACTTTCCCGTTCGGTCGGTTCGAGTGCCTGTCGTCGACATCAGCCAAACGGTTCGACTCGGTGTGTGTCCTGGATAGTGATACCTCGTCCGACTCGGCGTGCACCACGGGTATTACGCTTCAACTGCTCGAACACGTGTTGGATACTGTTCGTCCGATTTGAACCAGACGGGATCGGAGCACGGTCCGGAAGGTCCACGACAGGAATTGGACCCTTTTCCGTGCCACTGCACTTGTGTGGGCTGCCTGCTGACATCCGCCGTGGGAAGCCCCGTAAGTCATCGTCCCTTTTGGATCCACCGAATCAAGGTCAGAACTTCTTTTTTTTTATGAGCTCGAAGAACTCCCTGTACATAGTTGTGACGTTACCCTAGCTTTAAGAGAAGATTGAAATCCCCTATAATATAGTGCACTTTAAAGTCGTTGAACTTTCTCTAAAGCTTAGTAGCTCATTTTTCGATTTGGAGAGTTGATGCCTTCACTGTGGGTGACAGGGTTTAATAGACTAGTTTTTCTTTTATTTGCTGAATAATTTTCATTTCGTTATCTTTAAATTTCATCGGTGTTTGAGCATTATTGACCCGCCCTAAAGCGAGCCTCCAGCCGGGCCTCTTGATCAGCGTCAGCAGCCTCTCGATTCGGAAGAACTTAAAGAGCTTAAAACATTCGTTACACCTTGTTGCGCATTAAATTCGATTGAATGGTTTTGGAATCACACAAACTAAAACAAGTTTTTCAAATATGTCTGAGCTTGTAAATTTAATTTGACTAAGATCTCAGATCTCAAATCTGAATCGCCCCCAAAATTCTAGCAGAGCTTTTATGAAGTTCTATGAACTTCTACAAATTTCCTTGCTCTTCAATGAACTTTTGCGAAACTTTCTCGAATTTATAACGAATTCGCTCAACTTGTACGAAGATCGGTAAACTGCTTTAAACTCACTGCCCTTCAAAGAAGCTTCCCGAGGAGAAATCTAAGATATTTGTCAGGATAGTGAGTTTAAGTGCGAAATCTAAGGAATATGTAAGTAGAACTACATTTATTTTATAAGCAGAATTTAGAAGCTCTGAGTTGAATTCCAAGTGAAGGAGAAAATCCAAAGCAAATAAAGAAATAAATACAGTTCTGAGAGGAGTTCAAATTAGTTTCTAAGGAGTTTGACAAAATAATTCAAAGGAGAGTTCCGTAGGAGCAGCATTTAGCAAAACTAATACCATCGTGCTAAGAAATAATCCTAATTGCCCAAGAGTTCAGTATGATAATTGTTCAAGAAATATTCAACAGCCCAATACGCAACAAATATGAAGTTCTTAAAATATCCCTGAAGTTCTATGAATTTCCTTGATATTGTATGAACTTCCTTAAACGTTCGCAAATTTTTCGGAAGATATTTCTTCAACCTTCAACTCGATTTTTTGACGTAGGACTTCGTCTGGGGTTTCTATATGGGGGTACACTTTGTGGAAAACGAAAATGGAACATGTAACAAATTTATGAAAGATTTTGAACATTAATAACTCAGTTGTCCCTTGATCTATTTCAATAATTTTATCACCAATCGATCAGAAATATTTCCACGAATCAAAAGCAATCCGACGGATGATTTTCAATAATAAACTATTGAAAAAGTAGTAATGTCAAGCATTGTCCAATGTACAAATAAGAAGTGATAATTTTATCACAGTTTTCATGAAATAAACGTTCTTCCTAGTCGTCATCATAGTCGATTACCACTTGGTTGCACATCATTCTGCTTTAACCTGAAGAGATATAAAAGATCGCTGCTTTCTAGCCTCAACTCAGGCTCATTCTCTGCTTGACCGTCAAGCAGTTCAGTTCAGTTCGGATTCCAGCTCGCCTTCTCG